AGTCATTAGCACTCATCAGGCAATGTCTATGGGCAACTGACTGCACTCAGACCAAAGGGGGCTGAATAATTATGCACACCCCATGTTTCCGTCATTTATTTGTAAAAAATGTTTGGAATCATGTATGATTTTCGTTCCACTTCTCACGTGTGCACCACTTTGTGTTGGTCTTTCACGTGGAATTCCAATAAAATTGATTCATGTTTGTGGCTGTAATGTGACAAAATGTGGAAAAGTTCAAGGGGGCCGAATACTTTTGTAAGCCGCTATAAGTAGCAGGATGAACACTGCCAGCAGGCTGCTAGTGTGAATGTCTCTGATCAAACAATCACAAACAGACTTCATGAGTGTTGCCTGAGAGCACAACATCCTCTAGTGGTTCCTGGACTCCCTGCCTGACACCCTGGAGCCCGATTGGCATTTTCCACAGAATACCAGAATCGGCACGTCCACCACTGGTGCACTGTGATTTTCACAGAGAGCAGGTTCATCCTGAACACATGTGACAGATGTGAAAGTGTCTGGAGAGGCCGTGGAGAATGTTATGGTGTGTGTGAAATTGATCACCATGACTGTTTTGGTGGTGGGTCAGTGATGGTCTGGTGAGGCATATCCATGGAGGAACGCACTGTCCTCTACAGCAGGGGTGCCCAATCCCAGTCCTCGAGATCTACTATCCTGCAGCTTTTAGATGCATCCCTACTCCAACACAGCTGAATCAAATGGTGTGATTACCTCTTCAGCATGCCATCAAGTTTGGCAAAGGCCTGATAACAAGCCATTCAGTTGATTCAGGTGTGTCAGAAGAAGGGTGCGTCTAAAAGCTGCAGGACGGTAGCTCTCGAGGACTGGGATTGGGCACCCCTGCTCTACAGGCTAGGTGACGAATTTTAATTCCCAGCAAACAATGTGGCATCCTTGTGTTCCTAACATGTTACCCTTATCAGTATGGAGATGCAGAAAGATTTTTTCCCCATTGAGATGTGACATGTTTTCAAAGTGTTCATATATATTTTTTGGAACAGTATAGTTAAGGTTGGATCAGGTGACCCTGAATCCTCCCTTTTTTACGCTGCATAGGCTTAGGCTGCTTTCACTCTGTTTATGCACCTCTCTGCATTAAATCATCAGTAATTATTAATCTGGCTCTCTTACACAGTGTAATTATTGTCCTGTCTTCCTCCCCTCAACCCTAACAAGTTAAGGCAGATGGCCTCCCTGAGCCTGGTTCTGCTGGAGGTTTCTTCCTGTCAAAAAGAGAGTTTTTCCTTCCCAAGTGCTTGATCATTGGAGATTGTTTTATTGCTGGAGTTTTCTCTCATATTGTAGGGTCCTTATCTTAGAATACAGGATGGTTTGAGATGACTCTTGTTGTGATTTGGTGCTATATAATGAAACAGAGTGTAATTAAGTACAATCATTGACCAGGTTTAATGAAGTAATTAATTTGGTAATCTTGGGAGGGTCAAATGCACTTACTAACAGTGTTGGTCAAGTTACTTGAAAAAAGTAATCAGTAACTAATTTCTGATTACCTCCCCAAAAAAGTAATCCCGTTACTTTACTGATTACTTATTTTCAAAAGTAATTAATTACTTAGTTACTTTTTAAAAACACGATTTACAACCTGAAGAGGTGATAAAGTGATAGATCTTTCAGCCCAATTCTACTGTTTCTGCATAATCCATCATACAAAATGTAATCAAATGGAAAAGTCTCTTTTTTAACTTGTTTTATCAGTTTTAATCTTTTAACTTTATGCATCAAGCAAAAATGTAATTATATGCAACATTCTCTGACTGGAAGAAATTTTTTTAACATTTAAACCTATTTTCTGCACATTCCAGCACATAAAATAAAATATTTTTTGTGTTTACACTCAGTCTTTCAAATAGATGCAAGTAAAACACAGCAGAAAATAAATAACATCAAAGACTCAGCGGTCCTGTTGCTCTATTTTCACCTGTAAAGCAGGAGTAGGGTAGGCGGAGGTTTACCCTGGTGCAGGTGAGCCGCAGAGGTCAGTGGAAGAATCCGCGAGTTTCTCTGTGAGTTTCCCATTACATGGTAGCGCACTCGGTGCTTGCTTGGAAGTTTAGGGGTTTTTTTCACTGTAAAAAGAAGTTTTTCTTCCCACGCACAACGGACACTAATGTTTTTGTCACTTTTTATGGAATCAAACTTAAAGTAATTTCAGTACTTCCACACTTTAAACGCTGCACGCTCATACTCTCTCCGCACTCGATATATTATCTATTGTTGCTCTGTACACAGCTGTTGCCACAAACGTCGCACTCGCTTACAAACAATGTCATGAGACATTTTCACAAAAAAATCACGGTTTTAGTAATGCAGTAACGCAGCGTTCCAACGGGAAAGTAACGGTAATCTAATTACCGTTTTTGCAATAGTAATCCCTTACTTTACTCATTACTTGAAAAAAGTAATCGGATTACAGTAAAGCGTTACTGCCCATCTCTGCTTACTAAATATTAAAAATCTACTTTTCTTAACTCTCCACCTATATTTTTGGCCAAAATAAAAATTATTTCTGAACAAAGCCACAAAACCCAACAGCTGTGAGTAAAATGCAGTTTGTCACTTTATGTCTGTAGACAGGAGAGTCTGGAACTGGGAAGTCCTCCTCTCTCGACTCCTCATCTATTCTCCCTCAGAGCCTCTTCTTCTTCATGTCCGCCAGTTGTCATGTCAGCCATCTTTGACACAAAAAAGTAAACAGACCACATCGCCTCCATCTCTTTAAGTCTTCCATCTGCTCAACAACGTGACATGAATATTCACACAGAACATTCGTGACAAATGGTGCTGATTAACCAGCCGGTGTGAAGTGTCTGAGTATGAAACTAACTGGGAGGAGAAAGAAATGGATGGAATAATATAATTGGTTTGATTTTATTAATGCCTTTAGAGAAAAACCTCTTTGTTGGTTTATTGTTGAGTATTTCATGGATATCACCATTTTAAATGTTGACCTGTTTTATTTTGAAATATTACACAAATGCTATAAAAAGTAAAACTAAACTATAATTATGTTCACTCCAGTATGTTTGTAGGCTGACTTTTGTGTCTCGTTTCTAATAATATTTCTATTATTCCAAGTGTTTTACAGAAAAAAAAATAGGAGAAAAAAAAATCTAAGATTTGATTAAAAACATAAAAATAAAACTGAAACAGGCAAACAGGACAAAACATAAAACCAACATGGCCACATGTTAAATGTTCATGAACCACAGGCGCTAAAGAAAACACTGGCAAGTACCACCAAAAGTCTTTGAAGTCAAAATGTCTGCTTTTCAGGTTTGAAATCACAGAGTCCCTGTTTTTCATGAAGCATATGCAGTGTTTGAGATCATGAATGGAACTTTACAAAAAGGGCTGGTTTTGTAAACCTTGTGCCATGATTGCGAAAGCCCCAGCGAGTCGATTGCAGATTGTCTTTGATTGTGTTTGAATCTGTGTGACTGTGATTTGAAGCTAAACAGTGACCTAGAAAGGTCCATAAAACGAGTAACTGCAGTCTAGACACAAAAGAGTTCAAGAACTTCCTCCAGCAGTTCTTTAAATTATGACAGGGTTGCTCTAGTCTCACAAGAGGGACTGAATATATTAAAAGAATATGCAGAAACTTCAGCAAAACTTCCCGTGAACACAGGATGTATTTATTCAGCATTAATGTCAGTTTGAGTTTTTGTGCACAGTCCAACAAACAACACAAACTAATAGCAGTAAAATATACATGCAGTATTCTGAACTGCAGTATTCTGCCTTTCACTTGTAAACAAATTTAAGACAAAACATCGAAGAAGAAACAAAGTAACTCATTGGTTCAGACCAGGTGCTGTCTTCATCTAAAAGCATCCCTGGTGTCACATTAAAATTCTATACATAAACTTTTCATCCTCATAGTCGACTAATGGGAAAGTGCTTCTTCACAAAAACATAATAACAGCATAGAATATAGTAAAACATAAACTATCAGGCGAGGATTTGACTGGAGTGAAAAACATAGCAAATGGCAAAATTTAGACTAAGATTATTCTGTTTTTCAGTTTCGTTGAACATTCCTCGGTGGATTAATGAGATCCACCGGGTGACCATTCATGTGAAATGTAGCACACAACACAGTAATGTATTCTTCTCAGGCTAACAGTGAGGACATCACAACAAAAGATAGATCCACAGTTTGCGGTTCAGGCTGGGTCCAGGAGAAGATCGTCATTCAGATACCCCGGTATTGATGAATACAGCTCTTGCTTCTTCTCTGCTTCCTCTTCTGTCTCCGTGGTGATGAGTTTGGCTGTCTTTGGGTCTGCAATGATGTCCTTGGAGACCAGAGAAGTCTTCTTCCCTTCCAACCAGTAAGTAACCATGTCACCTTTACCCTGAAAGAAATTAATCAGGTCCAGAGTGTTAACTGGGCAGCTCCCAGTTTTACCTGAACTGGACTCCAATGGGAGTGTACAGCTCACCTTGACCTGAAGTGTTCCTCTGCACTCCAACATGTAGCCACCAATCTCTTCCAGTAGGTAAAAGACACTGGAGCTGCACTGGATCTTCAGGGCTGCAAAAATGGAACATACCAGCTTGTTTCACCCCAAGAAGAAGACAGTTAAGTCTGTGTCCAGTAACCAGCATTTGTTCCAGTAATAATTAGTCATACTCTTATTAGGTCCTGCAGTCTTACCAACGCTTGTTGACTCCATCCTCGATGCTGTGTTCACTGTATCTCCAAACAGGCAGTAGCGAGGCATCTTTGTCCCAACCACCCCTGCCACCACTGGACCTAAAAGGACTCAGAAGAGTCACAGGTGGAAAAATGATTTAACAAAATTTTTAATTACAGTGGCTCAGTAGCTTGTATACCGGAGTGTATCCCAGCTCGTATCTGCAGCTGAGTGTTGGGTTTATGGGGGATCCTGAAGGTGCGACAGACGCCCACCAGATCCAGAGCCATGCTGGCGATCTCTGAGGCGTGGAGTATCCCGTTCTCCTGTGGAACACCAGAGACCACCATATCTACACAAAAACAAACAAACAAAAAACAACAATCAAGTAAAAAGTTTTCACAGGACACTATAGAGTCCTGTGAAAAACCAAGTACACCTTTATTGCTTCCACTTATGAGCAAGTGGGTAAGACGGAGCCAGATGCTGCTAACATAAGAGAGCAACATCCCAGAAAATTAACCACGAGGTCGGACCAAGGTCAGTTTTGAGAGAAATTAACAAAACCGAAAGAGTTACATCTTTGACTCTACCGGCTTCAGTTAGCATTTTAAATCTTTTAATTCATGGCAGTACAATTAGAAAAAAGACCAAACAAGTGTGGCTTGTTTGGAAAGGCTGCCTGGAGATGAGCTATATATTTATATAGCTATATATTACCATGTGTGTCACTCACATGCGTCTCCGATGGTTTCTACCTTGTAGACATCGTAATTGTCAATGATGTCATCGAAAGTTGTGTAGAGCTTGTTAAGGAAGTCCACGACCTGGTAAGGAGTGCTGCTGCTGGACAGCTGGGTGAAGCCCACTATATCACTACACAAACACACACATACCATCCTTTATTATGGTGGCTGTAAAAATATAGAAAAGTAGAATAGAATCCAGTAGAAATTTATTTAGCTCATGTGGTTGCTACAAACCAGCATTATTAGCCTCATCTGACTAAAGACCCCACAGGTTTTCAACTCTAGTCTATCTTTACCTGAAGAAGACAGTGGCACTGACATAGCTCTGAGCTTGGGAGGGTTTTCCCTGACGGAGGTCATCAGCAACCTGTTTGGGAAGCATACCTGAACCACAAACATACAAATGTCAGTAAAAGGCGAGTTTTAACTGGTCAGAGATATAGAGAATTGTATAATCTGCATACAAATAAATGTTTTCTGGATGAAAATGTGTGTAATAAATGTGAAACAGAATCATCCTACTAACCTAGTAACACATTAGTATGTGTGTGTGTCTGTGTGTTTGTGGGTCATACTGTATAGCAGCCTATCAGTTTTCTGTTTCTCATGCATCAGATCCTGAGTCCGCTCAGCCACCAACACCTCCAGATGTTTGCTGTATTTCTCCATCTGAAACAGAGACAAAAGAAAAAAGCTTTACATATACAGTATATAGCATTGATGTAATTTAACATATGATATTACATGAGAACATGGTACAATGCACAGTTTGTTACTATAGTAATAACATATAATGATTATTGTACTGTCCACTGTATTGACAGAGTTTGTTTTTACCAGGTTCATCATCATGTCCACTGGGCTGGTTTTGATGGGGTTAATTCGATGCACAAACTTCTTGATCTGTTCAAAGGTAGGTCTGTGGGTAGGGTTATGAGAGCGACATCGCCGAATCAGCTACGGAAACACAGGTGGGTCAAAAGAGCAGAACAGCCGAAATGGAATATTCAGTCATCGAGGAATATTTATATTTTTAATGAATGATTACATTTGCTTAAAAATGTTTTTTTGCAAATTATATAATATCTTTAAAGTCATATTTCAAAGTTAGCATCATTCAAAGAAGAAAACATAATTTAAACAAAACATCAACTAGTTCAAGTATACACGACCACAATTGCAAGGAACACCTGACAGCTGTCAGCTACAGACATCCTTCACCCACTCAAAACATTAACTTGACTGTTCTTCAGAAGTCCAAATCACTCGTTTCAGGTGAAAGTAAATTTAGTGTTTAACTTGGAAAGCAAGGTTTTAGAGTATAAAGGAGTAGTGTAGAGGCACAGAATCCATGATGTTTTAAGTCTGATGTGACGTTTCTGCATTCTGTGATAATTTGGGGTACTTTATCATCTCCTGGTCTTGGTGGTGGTTCATCCACGTGTTTTATCAAAGTCAGCACAGCCCTCTACCAGGAGATTTTATAACTCTCCATGCTTCAGTTTGGTGACGATATTTATGTACATGCAGATTCCCTCTTCCGAGAGGACTTAACACTTCCCACTACCAAGTAGTTAACAAATTGTTTTGTGGTGTCAGAACTACTACCAAACAGTTTGCTCACCATTTTATGACTATGCTTATTTGGGGAGCTAACTCACCTAACCTCAACCTGACAGATTCTACAGCTCGCTGAGAGAAGGAAGATGAGGAAGTTGAAGCTGAGGTGCCACAAGCTGATCACCTTCATGGTACGAATACTGTAATTATTGATGCAGTAATTTGTGTTAAAAGAACTATAACTAAGTTCTGAGTATATAAATGAACACATTTTTTCCTACAAACGTATGCTTATAACAACCTAGCATACGAACACTACAAATTTTTATTTATTTTATTAATGATAGCACATTTCATACAGCCTGCTTTCAACCATTTCATAACAGTCAGTTTAAAGGGAATGACATACCTCTACATAGTCAGCGGGACAGGGGCAGGTGTTGTCAGCTTTACTGGAGATCAATTCAGGAAGAGGAGGACACCAGGAACACTCGAGGTTTGACTCCTCTGCCTGTAAACCAAAGCATTTTACGAATTTTACTGAGGGAGACCATGAAAGCAGCACAGTTACAGTGAAGGGAAAGGACACTCAGACTGACTTACAGGGACCGGATCACTGCGAGTTGCAATCTCCAGCAGGATGATGGAATAACTGGGAAATTTACATACAGAGAGTATCAACTGATCTATATTTATTTATCACATTGTGGAGACTGAGCTAAAACTACAGTTTTGCTTTGGTTTAGGGTAAAGGTGAGGGAGGCAGATGGAAGTCTTCGGGGAACTGAGGTGAGTAAGTGAAGGAAATTTAAAGTTAACTCTGTGACCTGAACACATCTCCTGCCAGCGTTGGCTCCGTGTTAGAGTCCTGAAACTCAGGCGGCAAGTACACTTCCAAGAGCCTCTGCTGATAGGTGGAAAGAGGCTCCGCCCCATCGCCCGTGCGGTAGGTTCCCAGACCGTAATCTAATTGGAGATTATATGTAAATAAAAACAATTGTAGATATATAATCAAAAATTTTGCTGCATTCTAGATTATTTTTCAGATCTATTTTAGGATGTCAAAAATTAGGTTTAATTAAAATGACAATAAAAAACAGAGATTAGAACAATTCAGAAAGAGATTTCAGTTATAGAAAATGATCTTCACTAAATTAGGAATAAAGCAAACGTTCACTTTCAAAGCTAGTTTATATCTGGTAAGTTTAACAAGTATTTACTGGGTTTTTTTTAATTTACATGTCTAGTTTTAATACTTTTAAGAACATTCTTTCTGCACGCTCAGATCACCTGTTATTTTGCAGACCCAGCGGTCGTCTAAGACACAGTTTAGAGAATTCAGTCGGCCGTGACAGATCTTGTGTTGGTGCAGGTACGACATCCCTCTGGCGATGTCTGTGGCGAAGGAAAACCTGGCAGGCACAAACAGTCATGCATCTAAACAGACCTTATGAGAACCCCAAATGAATTGGAAATGTGTGTGACCAATTAACTTACAAAGACAAACACTTTATGTGTAGTCGCATTATGCCTTAATTACCTCAAGATGTCATTGTACCATAAGTAAGAGTCTGTGTGATTATCTGAGTACCTGAATCCCCAGTTAAGTGGGATCTCCTCGTTAAGAAGGACATCGTTAAGGCTTCCTTTTGGGCAGTACTCTGTCACTATGGCAACATTTGGCACCTCAACACAGCCACCGATAAACTTACACAGGTTGGGGTGATCAAGCTCCCTGGAGACAAACATAAAGACAGAAAGTCAGACTAACATGCTGTGTATTTGCAGTATGAAGCGGATAAGTTTGTATTTGCATCTTACCTGACTTGCTTGACTTCCTGTCTGATGGTTTTGGACAGAGAGAACGTCTTTGTGTGAATCCTTTTGATAGCCACGGTGCGCCCATCACTGGAAAACAAAATGGCTTTTAACATACATTTCCAAATAATATACCAGGAAGCTGGAGACATTTCTATTGGCGATAGGTATGGATGGTGCTATAACCAGTGTGTGACACAGAAGTGGCAAAGGACAACTTGTGGCTTTGACAAACAAAAATCTTGACCTCTGGGAATCAGGAAAAGATACTTGAAACTGGCCCTGGTGGCCTATCAAAGTATCCGAAATAGCACAGTACAGTTTTATATAAAGACAGACAGGCGGTTACCAGGGGTGCAACAATACTTGTATCGGTATTGAACCGTTCGATACAGTGCTTTCGGTATGTATCGAACAATACAATACAAAAGTTTTAATTTGTTTTATCAAATTTAATCGAGCGCAGATCCACTGAGCGCAGCGCAAGCTAGTGAGACAGAAGCTAACCTCATTGCAACATAGCAACTGCCTCAACGCTACCCGAAATTGAGCCTCCCCCACCTTCATTCGGATCATTTGGAACTATTTTGGTTTTCATGTGAAGCATGACCCTGATGGACAAAAGTAAAACAGTATGTCGGATGTGCCACGCAATGCTCAATTGGTGGGAACTAGTGTGTTAACGCAGTTAGCTTGTTAACGTCTTGACGCCGTCCAGCTCCACACACGGGGCGATCCGTGGTAACTTGTTAACGGAGATTTGCCGTGTTGTGGCGTTAATGTCATTTTAACGGGTTTAAAGCTGACAGCACTAGTGGGAACACAACGAATATGACTGCACATTTACGCCGACATCATCCTAGTGCAAAGACAAGTGGAAGCAGACAAAAAAAACAACAAGCAAGCTACAAACTTTACCCGAGTCATTTAGACAGCCGTTAGCACATGATTCTCCTTATGGGGACCTGATATGTTTAATATGCTGCTGAGAATATAGCCCAGAAGAAGCGTATAGTATAGCTTTTATTTTGGAAAGAGCCATTTCTCTGTAATAAACTCTCTTTTCCAAAGATGAGTGATTTCTCAATAAGACAGATTTTTTTATTTTTTTTATTTCGTTGTTTCAGCAACATTAAATTTAAAAACTGTACTTAAAATATATATTTATAATTTTATTAAATGACAAATTAAAAAGGCATGAACATTTTTTGTATCGAAAAAATATCGAACCGTGACACCAAAGTATCAAACCGAACCGTGAATTTTGTGTATCGTTGCACCCCTAGTGGTTACATAGGTAGGCGTACTATATGCCGGTGCAGGTGAACATTGTTTTTCGGGTTCCCAGTTGTCCTGTACAGGTGCTTAGCGCTGATACACAGCTAGTATGACTGTCATTGTTCCCCACTGGTACACTCATTATGCTGCCCATGGTCATGTGCCCCTCTTGATCTGCAGAGAAAAACAGAGTTAAGTTTTAGATTTCCTTCATGTACATAAAATGTATACAAATTTACAGATGTGGGGTCCATTTCAAATCATTCTAAATCAGTGCTGTTAATTAAGTTTTTTTTTGTGGTGCTTTGTGTCCTGCTCTGCACTGTAATGTTTTAGATCTGGTTCATACTCTTTTTGCAGTAATATCTCTCTTGTGCAGCTTTTAGGCAATTCCAGCATACACTCAGAGCCTTTCAGTACTTACTAAGCTACTATCAGAGTTTTATGTAGACTGTTAAAAGGACCTTGTTTTATTGTAGAGAAGTCGATGATCCAGCTTTCGTCCCACAACATTTTCTGTTTCTGGTACCTTAGCCACTACAAGAGACAGATTTATTTATTTATTTTTAACTGGCAGACTTTTTTTGAGCATATGTGTGTTGTTGTGTGAGTCCTTACCACAGCAGTCATTATGAAGGAGAGGCAGAGCAGACTGAGTGGCAGACCGATGGCAATCTTCGTGGAAGGGGACATAGGGCATTCACCACAGTCAGCTGGACAGGTGGAACAAAGCTCCGCCTCTTCACAGACACCATCACCACAGACTTCAAGGGTGAAATTTAAAGATGAAATTGTGACTTATTTACTTTTTATGGCAACACTATGTTTGGGGTTGACTGACTGCTGGAGCCTTATGACATCTTTGCTACTGGGTTATCAGTATAATCTCTGTCATCAGTGGCCAGAAAATGTTCACATAACAATGACAATATGATCTAATACAGAAGCTTTTGTGCACTCCTTGTTGCACTTCTTATAGTCAAGTCAGGATTTTGAGAGGGGAAAAACATACCCACAGCAGGCAACACGGTGGTTTTGGCCTCCAGGGCAACCTGCATGGTACCGACCCGAATGTGAGCGATGAGTGAGTTTAAGCCAGGATGAAACAGAACCACCTACAAATCAACATGTTAGATTAACTGGTTGTAGACAAAACATCAGCAAAGAATCAGAATGTGAGTATTTAATAGTAACTGAGTGTAGCATCTGCATACAATTATATTATTTTGTCATTGGGACATATTATAATATTGTAGTATTGCCCTACTTTGAATGAAATAGGTTTGTCTGTACAGAAGCATATGTTACATCTCTGCTTAATGTTCTGTATTTAAAGAAACTTGGGCTCCACTTGGGTTCCAGTAACCAGTACAAAAGGCTTCATTTCTGAAGAGACTAGGTCCTAGACTTGAAATAACAGTCAAACCAGAAATTTTGAAAACTGTAAAAGATGCTTTTTGGACAGCTTCCTCTTTTGCAGAAACAATGTAGGGTGTAAATACTAGAATTAAAGAAGAAGAACACTGTCTGTATAAAACAATGGAATAAAAAAGAATAGCAAAATACAGAATTATTCATTCACTTAAAATGACAGCACGAGGGAAAAGGTTAATTATTCAATGGCTCTGGCTCTAGTGATCCTGTGATACACTCTTTGTGCTTAAACCAGACAGTTATCATTCCTGCTGAGTTATGCATCAACCTAAATTACTAAATGCAACCAATGAGATGACCTGTAGGTCCAGTAAGTGTATTAGTATGTTCCTAAAATGTTAGTTTTCCTATTTTAAGTTTTTGTTTCATTGAGAAACTGCTGCACTTTTGAAGACCTCGGTGACCTCATTGCTGGATGTGCCCAATCGTGTGTTGTGTATGGATTAATGTAAACTATTTTAAACAATTATTTAGGCTTAATGTTCACTATTACACTTCCATCCAGCCATTTTCTACCGATTATCCAGGTTAGGGTTGTGGGGGCAGCAGTCTGAGCAGAAAAGCCCAGGTTTCCTTCACCACCTCCTCTAGTTTATCCAGAAGGGACACAGAGTTGTTCCCAAGCCATTTGTGAGATATAATCTCTTGAGCAAATCCTGGATCTGCCCTGGTGCCTCCTCCTGATAGGACATAACTGGAATACCTCACCTACGAGGCATCCAGGGGGCATCCTAGACAGATGCCCAAACTGGGTGAACTGGCTCCTTCCAATGTGGCTCTACTCTTATTCTCTGAATTAATTGACCTAAATCCATTTAATCAGTGGTGGAATTATATTTATTTAGTTTGCCTTGGACCCAGTCAAATTAGCTGTTTTCCAGTCTTTGAACTTCTCTCATGTATGACGAGAAAGTGTTAGTTTTCCTATTTTAAGTTTTTGTTTCATTGAGAAACTGCTGCACTTTTGAAGAGGAACTATGTGAGATATGGACTTATTGAGATAAACTGGCATGTGTGTTACCTTCGCGGTCCAGTTGGTCTGGGTCATCTTCCCAGAGGTCGAGACGGTATGTGTGAAGATTTTTCCATCATCAGGAATCCAGGGGCCACAAATGCTCTCTGTTGTCTGTTAGTGAGGAAAAAACAGAAAACTTTATTTTTATGAGAGAGCTTTTTATCTGTTTACCTATCTGTCAGACATTACATGGATGGACTACATCTAGAAAGTAGATCTGGGAAAAGTAAACGGATCCTAAGGTGTCTTAGACCTGCAGTTTCTCACCACTAAGGGGTGACTACTTTGGGTAGAAAATAAGTGAATTTGTCAAGAAGTCTATTAGAAAATGATCCCACTGCTTATGTAATCTGTGACCTCATTAAACACTAGTCTGGTTTATTTATGGCCTCTGTTGCGAGTTTAAAGTTTAACTGAAATCAGCATAATTTAGTAAATTATGGTCCCAATTTTGAGTTAAACTGTGTAAACAGTTTAAGTTTTGGAGCTGGCCAACCTTGGGATTAACCTGTATCTCCATAATACTCTATTGTGTGAGGATTGGTGACAAAATTTGCCAAACTACGTTTTGCAACTGGATTTTGGAGTTCTCTGTGGATTGTGTTACAGAGAGGAGTGATGAAGACAAGAAGAAGCAGTGCACCATGTATCCCAGCGGGCAGGAGTGGATGTTAGCGTGGTGAATGCAGCAGTTCTCGCCATTTGCATCTTTCCAGTTGGCCGGACATTCGTGATGTTCACAGAACCTCCGAGCTGATTCAGCGTCTTCTATGTCACTGAACACACAGACAAAGCAGACCAGTTTATCTAGTTTATTTTGTTCAGTCTAAAATTATTCTGCTTTATACCCAGTTTAACCAGTTTACCTTTGAGTGAAGACGCGGTTTTGGACGGCCCAGTGGTAGAAAGAGTCCTGGGTGGTCACCGAGTATATGACACTGAATACCTCACCACTCTTTATCAACTCTGGAGGACGAAGAACCCAAGCCATCTCCAGACCTGGACAAGAGCCACAGGATAATAGACAGACAGAGATTTTAGACTGCAATCTTTAAAATAAATAATTTCAGACTTCACTGGGGAGCTGTAATACTTGTTATTTAATCTCGAGACCAACCAAAATCTCTCTTCAAGACCTACGGTTAATGATTGTATTGTAACTGCCGTCTGTTTTCTCACCTCCACAGTCGATCATGTTGTACTCGTTGGGCCTGTCCAGAGGCCAACAGTCGTACTCGCTGTTGTCCAAATCGTGCCAGCAAAACACCAGACCAACACCACAAACAGACACCTGGAAACAACACGACACGTGTTCAATGACCAAAATTACACCACAAATAAAAAAGGAAAAAGCATCCAGAGAATCATCCGAGGTGCTCACATGATTAAAAACTATGGACCTGAGCTCGTTCCCTTGAATTTAAATACATTAAACTTTAGGCCTGTAAAAAAAGGTGTTTCATATATGATGTCTTACCCAGAACAGAAACCAAAGTCTTTGTTGTTTCTTCATACTGTTGCTGTTGAAAGACAGACAGGTGGACAGGATGGAGACAGGTAGGAAGACTGACTGAGAGTCTCGGACATCTGCAGCTTCTGAGCTGCTCGCTCGCTGTGGAGTCAGAGCTGATGGAGCGGTGGTAGGTAGAGCGAGGCAGGAGACACTAGAGAGAGAGAGAGAGAGATTGGATCCCGTATTTCTCCCGTGCGCTGTCAAAGCTGAATTCAATGTTTTACATAGAGATGGCTACACTTCACTGCCCTCTGGTGGTGGCTGCTGTTACTGCACTGATCTTTAAACATTTACTATTAACTCAGTTGAGTTTTTCCCTCTCTACATTTTTAATTCTCTACCGATCAAAGCTTTAAAGAATTAAGAAATATTGTATTGTTATTCACTATGCAAACCCAGTTTTCTATGTGTGGTCTTTTGGAGTTTTTTAGATATTTTTTTTTTATATTTAAAAGACAAATTCTTTTTCAAACTTCTTGCAGGTTTTTTTTAAAGAGTCAACATGCGCTGACTTCACTTGCTTTATTTACTTTGTAATGATGGATTAAAGCAAAAAAAAAAACTAAAAAAAAAAACTTGTCAGTTACAGTTTAACCCTGTAAGGCAGCGGTGTCAAACATTTAGCCCACAGGAAGTAAACCAGCCCACTGGATGGATCTTTTGAACTGTTAAGATATTGTGACAGAAAATATTTAAAGATGCTTTTCACAAACCAACCAAGATGTTTGCATAAAGGTTATCTCAGTTTTTTTTTTTTACTGGTCTAGCCAAAAGCAGACCAAAACTGGTCTGTATGCAGCTGATGGTCCACCCCCTTGCTTGAAGGTTTATGACTTATTGTGAGTGTTCAGGATGTTACTCTAAAAAATGAATGCTACATTCCTTTCCTTATGTAATTACTCAATAGTTTTCCCACTCTTGTCCATTTGAGAAATACAAATTAAAGTGTCCTTATGTCTACTCCAAAGAGGTTACAGACCTCTGTGTCCTACCTGTACACGAGCTGAAATCTGCTGATTTGTAGCACTAAATAGCCTTTTTTCTTTCTATCTGCTCATCATACAGCATACAGACAACTGAGGAAACTTTGTAACATACATAACAGCATATTTGTAGCTAATGTAATCACTGATGTTAACACACACACACACACACACACACACACACACACACACATAAAGCTCGCTGTAGCTCTGGTATTTTAGGTTCCTATATAACTCACAGATTTTACAAAGACTGTAATCTCCAAAAGAAAACAACAAACCAGCCAGCTCCTGACAGCTGTGCCAGCTAATTGTAAACATGAACCACATCCTTAATTATCACTAATGAGATCATTTAACTTCAAATATAACTGTTATAAAATTGCCATGCTTTCATTGAGTTATCCCTTTGTTTTTATTTATCCATGAACACATATACGAGGGTCATAAACTGCAAACTATATATTCTTATCAGAATTTAAACATCTATGTTAATATCTTAAATATTGATATAGAGTAACACAGTGTCAGCCGTATTTTATTTATCCCATATTGCCTAAATTATTTTTACAGCAGTTAAAATGTTGATGACAAAATAACACTGTTATTATTGTTCTTGTTGTTATTACTAGTACTACCGTTAATAATAATAGTAGTAGCGACAGCAGTGAGAAAAAAAGTATCAGTAATTATTTATTAACATTGTAACTTTGGTCGCGCCTGACTGCCTAAGAACATGACGTCACAGGGGAACAGCTTCATGAAGTGAAAGGCTCTGATTGGTGCAAGATGTTCATGAAAACGGACGTGAATGAGTAACCCCACGCGCCCACGGTCCATCTGTGTTTATGCATCAACAGAGAGCGCGTGGGGGTTAAAGAAACAAATCTGTCTTCGTGTTAACGACTCTAAACTTCCTGCTCGCGCGCTGTCCGAATGTCTGTCGGGTTATTCCCCGGCACGCGACTCCACACAGTCCAATTCAAGCGCGCGAGGACACTCTCCCGGCTCTCTTTCTCTCGCGCCTGCTCGCGCGCAGGGCAGTGAGAAGCGCAATGATTTAGCGGCTTTTAATTCATTTTTCTCACATTTAGCATCGCAGCTGTGTTATTCTACATGTCGTTTTTGATCCATTTTTATGTTTTACTCACTGGATTCAGCGGCTTTTTGCACTTTTGACGAGCCTTCTTTTTAACCAACTGCATGTTTTAAATGTCTCGGGTTTTTTTTTATTTTACGCACTGTGTAAGTTTGCACGGTTCCCTGCCGAAATCCGAGATATTTGGAGCGAACTGCTTGACTAACCCGGGCCGTGCTAGTGTTAGTGTCCCGGGTTAAAACCGCAGGATGTTGACCATAGTTCTCCTGTCTTGCTTCTGTTTGTGGACACGGGGCCAGTGCTTGGACCACGACAGGTCAGGAATTTCTTTTTCGTTTTAGCTGGTTAAGCTTTTTTAAGGCAATTTCATTGAAAACATGTTTTAAAAATAAATGTAACCATATAATTCTAAATAATCTTGCTCACAATGATACATTTCAACTGTCTGGTGCTTTTCAGTGACAGTCACAGCAACGCACACCTGTGCAAAACACGAGCGTCTTCTTCCTTTCTGCATGGTCTTGTTTCTAATTAAAGGGTTTGGCTCAGAAGCAGTGCTGAAGAAAAGGCAAACAAGTCAAACACTTTAATGTCTGTGCAATTAAAGAACATTTTAACTAAAAGACAGCAACTAAAACCGTGAATTCATTTCTAAGGGGAGACACCTGGGAAGAAAGGAAGAAGAAAATCCAGAGTTAAAAAATAACTAGCAATGAATGATGATGGGAACACTGAGGAGGACATGATGAAGAGGGGAAAGTATGTGGAGGGAGTGGAAAAAAGGCACGCACAGCACCCTCCCCTCCTCTATGGCTGATATATTTCATGTTCAGACAGGCACCAGGAAACAGGAGATGTCAATAACACACACACACACACACACACACACACACACACACACACACACACACACACACACACACACACACTCTCTCTCTCTCTGTCTCTCTGTCTCTCTCTCTCTCTCCAGCCGGTCTCAACTAGTACAGGCGACATAAAAAAGTCATGGAGCCACAGAGTAGTTTTTTAAAGCCTCAAGTCATATTTCTCCCTCAGATTGTTTCTGTGTCTTTTCTTTCTTCCTAACAGTTCATTGGATTTTTGTTCATCCACAGGGTCACATGACCCCGTGCAGGCAGCAACACCCCCCCACAACGCCCCAATCCTAACAACATGATATGATCCTCAAACATGCTGTGTGTTCATGTGTGTTTGCAGCTGGGCGGACCAGGCCACGTTGTCCCGTGGACTCTGTCGCTATGGAAACAGCGTGGAGTGCTGCTGGGGCTGGAAACAGTTGGACTGGGGGCGATGTGAACGTAAGGACACACATTTATACGTCCTTTCAGTGAAGTCAGTCTAAAATCCTCCCTAACCAACTGATCAGCCAGTGGACTTTCCTTTTAACCTACTTAATGCGACTGCTGATAGCTGTTAAAGACACAGACTGTATATAGAAGAAGGCAGTAGATACAGTGATGTCACTTGTAGTTTTTTTTTTAACCTGCATATTTTTAAGCTTCAGTTTTAGCTTTTGTGATCAGGCATTTGTTGGTTTGTGAGGTCAGACATGATGGTATTTCAACCCTAGGGTTCAGTGATCAGCTGTCAGCTAATGCTAGCAAGCTAGCATCCCCAGCAAAACCAGCATGTTGGTTAGAGAAAGTTTACATTTGTTTCAATGGGGGACCACAGTCAGACTGGTGATGGAAACCAGTCGACAAATAAACTGGACTGTGTTGACTGATGGTTCTTTGTTAAACCAACAGCTGCTTGGAAGGAAGGAAATCAGCTTTAACTGTGTTTTTGTGAATCTGTTCAGGGTTTAAACACTGAAGGAGCAGCTGCAGAGACCGGAGTGTTTTATTTCATTTAGGACTGAAAACTGATCTGCAGCCAGTTAGCGTGACATATGTTTGTACATGATTCAGTGTATGTTAACACCCTCTGTGTGTGTGTGTGTGTGTGTGTGCAGCTCACTGCCAGCAGGGCTGTAAACACGGAGAGTGTGTGAAACCAGACCAGTGCAAATGTCACCCAGGATACACGGGAAAGGCGTGTAACCAAGGTATGTCTTTTTACTCAGCACAGAGTACACCAGGTTCAGACGTACCTATTCAAACTTCTCTATTTTTATGCATTTGTAATTAAATGGAGGTGTTACATTTAGATATGAGTGATTCACAGATGCTGTGTTGCTGTTAATAAGGAATATCACATTTTTTAAAACTGGCCATGCCATACCATGGCAGAGATAGATACTGTGGTGCTTTGGATCATTGCCCGTTTCTATCCTCCATCATTCTGATAAAAATGTCTCTTCTCACCTTCATGTTTTTGAATTTAACCAGTGCTTTGCACCTTGTTGTGAAGCCTTTGCCTTTAGTCATTCATTCATGTTTGTTTGGTGGTTGTGAATGTTGGAGGTATAGTGGTTAGCATAGCTGCCTTCCAAGCAGTTGATGTCAGTCAACTGGGTAAAAATGGCTGTGATTCCTGAGCACTTTTGTTAAACCCATTTGAATTAAAGCCGGAAGTCTGTACTTCAGTCACATCTTGCTAGTGTGATTTTTGCTAGTGTGTGTGGGTACAGAGAAGAAAGTATGAAAGCTGCATGTTAAAACTTGACTGTGGATCTGCTTCTAAATTAACCTCAGTGCATGAGCAGTGCAGCAGTGAACCTCACAGGTGTGTTTCTAAATTAAGATAGATATAAAACTGCCTTTTAATAACCTGACAGAATAGGAGATTGCTCATAAAGTTAGCTCACAAAGTGAGAACTCTTCAGCACATCTGCAGGGAGCTGGTCCAGATGTGGACTCCTGGTTTCACAGAGATCAGATTGCCCATCATGCATCTGTTTTGCCTCAACAAAACAGATGCATTCCTGTCATGTTTGTTTGACCTGCAAGGGCGTGTTTTACCTGAAGACCCCCAAAACACACAAACACACTCTATAACTACTGTTTCTAATCTTAGGCCTACTCCACCCACACACAGTGTTAATGTCCTGATTAGAGGCTTCATTATGACTCATATCCTGACCATAAAACAGCATCTGGAGACCCCCCCAGAGACACTCTGTCACACAACGTGTGTGTTTGGACTTCTGTCTTTGAGAGGACACGACCGTCCTGCTTATGATGGTTTCAGTCCTGAGTTTATCTAAACTCAGATGTTTCTCCAACACTTCAGAGCACACCGCTCTGTCTTCCTTTCATTTAGATAACTTAACCCTTTAACACACAAAATTGCAAAATTATAAAATAATTCTCTTCTTTCAGGAACCATTTCATTTTTCTCTCGAGCCCAAAATGTGAAGCGCACATGGCAAAATCTATTTGGAGCTGATTTTCTTCTGTGCTGCCACGATAAATCAACTGTCAGCATAAAGCCCGTCTTCTCTCCTTTCCAAAGATGATTCAAGTTTGTCTGTAGCACAAATGGAAATTTAAAGAGCGCTTGTAAAATGGCCCTGCTACTGAGCCTGTGGTAATAAAGGGTTAAACCAGGTGTTTACCTGAGGAGTGGGTGATTTGTTCCACCTGGAATGCACTTTTTGTCTCAGAGCAAGAGGTGTTTTTACAAACATACACTTATTTAAAATGCTCAGGGCTTAAGGTCAAAGGTTAATCCCGCAGGCTGACAAGATGAGTGAAAACAGGGAGGAGTTTTATGTTTAATACCCCCTCTGTGTGTGTGAGTTTCAGATCTGAACGAGTGTGGCGTGAAGCCTCGGCCCTGCAAACACCGCTGCATGAACACGCCAGGCAGCTACAAGTGTTACTGCGTGGACGGGTACGTGCTGCAGCCGGACGGCAGCTGCAGGAGTGAGTTACTCATCGAGCGTTCGATTCCCTTTCGCAGAAGTATTTATGCACGTGTTCAGTGTGAGCTATAAGCTAACACACAGTGCAGTCACCAGCTTTATGAGGCCTACTTGTTTTTCTTGTGCAGAGTGTTTTATGAGTTGTCTCTTAGTAAAGACAAACATTATAATCCTTTTTGTCCTGTTTATTTTTCTCTGTGAGTCATACTTTGATTTTTTTCGGTGTCTGTACGCTCGCAGATGCTCAAACCTGTTACCATGCCAACTGTCAGTATGGCTGTGAGGTGATCAAAGGGGCAGTGCGATGCACCTGTCCATCGCCAGGGTTACGCCTGGGTCCAGACAGACGCACCTGCATCGGTAAGTTAGCTTGCTTTTTTAAATTCCTGGATGAAGAAGTGCAGGATCATCTTTCGTCCTCCACCTTTTTCTTTCTGTTCAGACATCGACGAGTGTTTCTTGGGTGGAGGCGTGTGTCCTCGTCGCAGAAAGTGCGTGAACACTTTCGGGAGCTTCATCTGTAAATGTCACCTGGGCTTCAGACTCGTGTACATCAACGGGCGGTACACCTGCATCGGTGAGGCTAAAACCCTGGAGATTAAAGTAAAATAAAATAAAATGTGATTTTACAGAGCTTTCATTTCTTCTTAACTATTCACAAAACTCCCTGCTAAGTCACTGTGGCTGTACATAGACTCTTTAGCATTTTAGCCACTGCCCTGCTGTTTCAATTAATTTATTTATTTATTTATTTTTGGGGGGGAAGTGACCATATTTGGACAAGAAGGTGAAGTTTTAACTTATCAGTTAATGCTAGTGTATTTGGTTTGCAAGCAGCATCACAAGACTGTATGGGTGCATCACACCTATCTAAATATCTAACCCATAGTTAGATAGGTTTACTGCAATTAACTTCACAGCAGCCATATTAGCGGTCAGACAATTACATGTAAAATGTTCCGATATGCTAACAGCATAATATGACAAACATGCCACAGGTCCAGTTCAGGGACTCTAGTTACCTGAGGTGGAGCCTAGCAGACAGCCAGCAGCGACATCTGCCTGTTTCCAATGATCTATAAAGACCAAAATGGTTTTTGTTTTTTGTAGCAGGCTGGAAACATGTTTAGTCTGCTGTGAAGGTGGCCAGTTTGACATCTGAGTCTGTGGGGACTGACTGAGTTTGGGGGGCCCTCAAGTGGACATTAGAGGGACTGCAGTCTATCAATTCCATGCTGGCTTTATTATTAGTTCTGGAGGTTGCTGCTTGTTTTAATGGAATGTTTTATCTGCTGTTTTAGCCATAAAAATATGCCTTGTTAGTCGAATTCATTTTTTTAGACGGATTTCTGGTGTTGTAAATAACTTATTCTTCAGACTTAATCAGAATGAAGTTTAATTTGTTAGAAGTTAAAAGAAAAAAGAAAAGAAGGCGCTTCTTCCTCGTTTCTCTCTTTGTTACCAGATAAGGACACTCGTCCGTTCTGCTCTCTGAATCCATCGTCTCCAAAGTGCAAGTGTAAAGACGGCAGCTGCAAAGGTAAAAACAGCTCTTTATCACAAACACCTGTCCATCTCTTAAAAGGTTAGGTTAGGGTTTATTCTTTAGACTTTTCTTGTCGTTTCAAATAAAAAGAGAAATCTGTCGAGTTCTGAAGTTGTATGCTGCATTTCACACAATCATATAATCAGCACGGTAAAGAAAAATGATGGAAAAAAGTTTCGATCTGTTGATTCGGTAGTGTCCCAGACCTTCCTTCGTCTCTGTCTTCTGACTCTTTTATTGCTACTCAGGACAGATGAGAGGCAGGTGTTGGTGAACTGCAGGCACCAGTCAGACACATTTCAATGATAAAATCTGCTTCAAAGTCCGAGCTGAACTTCAGCTTTGCTTCTGTAAATTTCCCCACCAAAAACACAAAACTTTAAAAAAGGTGTTGAGCTTATAATTAGCTCCACTTTGGGCTGAAACAACATAATGAACACTGGCTTTGTCATATCTTCACACACTGCTTCTGGTTTAGATTTAAATAAATAATGACACAGTGCAATATGCCATGTGAATTTTTTCCTTTGAGGTTGGATTTCATAATCTTCTATAGTATTATGTTTTAATTAGTGCTGTCAAAACTAACGCGTTAAAGCAAATTAATCCGCCATCACGGTCAACGCGATTAAAATTTTTAACGTAATTAACGCATCTGGAGCACAGAATGACTCAAAATCCCTGAAATATTTCAGCTAACACATTTCGGGCAGTTTGTCCAAGTAGAGTTACCTATGCACATTCGCAAATAGCCAGTTGATCTGGTAGTGACGGGCAGCTGAACCAATCAACTCTATATGGAAGATGATAATGATTTCTCAATGGGAAATTTGAGTATTAAAAAATAACAAGACGGAGCAGTCGACCGACATAAAGCATTATGCACATTGTGCCAGAAGGAATTTTCTTTTCACCGAAGCACTTTGAGCTTAAAATTTCACATTGACCCAAAGCATACATTAGTCTGGGATGGTGCTAGGACTTTGGCTAATGCGTCACCCAGCTTGCGACAAACCACTCACGGAGCAGGGGACTCAGTAAGTCTACCTCGGACATATTGACTGAAACAATGCCATGTGGATTGCAACAAACTGCAGACCTATTAATATCAATGAGAACACGCTCTTTACATAGCTTTGGTTCCTCATTTCAAGGACTTGAAGTGCCAGAGAGAGAGTGGATAAATGTTTACAGAGTTTTTTGTTAACGTGAATGTTCAAGCTGTTCAATAAACACGTTAAGTGCGTATATTTTCCCTTTTTCTTGAGTTTGTTTGCTCATGCAAAATGAAATGCGATTAATATAGAATAAAAATGAATGATATTTAATCGTGACTAATCAATATTAATCCACAGTAACCCAGTGATGAATCTGATTCAATATTTTAATCGTTTGCCAACAGTAATATATATTATATATTAGTGTACACTTACCTATTAGTATATAGGTTTTTAAAAAAAGTTGTATTTCACAGGAGAGAACCTGTGTTAAAAGATATAAGTTAAAACTATTTAAATTCTCTCTGAAACGCTGTCATTGGACTAACATCACACAAAGTCTAAATATGATGTCTTAGCAGACAAACAATAGACAGACAAACAGATTATATAATATAAAGTTGGGTCTGAGAACAGCCTGTGTAGATCAACAGCATGGAAACATGAAGGAAACCTGAATCTCTTTCTCTTCTTTACAGCTGATGGGAAGATTAAATTCACTTCTTTACATCCCAGCACACTAGTTCTTGTTCCAGTTGTTTTATTGGTCTTATGCCTCTTGTGTATCAGTTAATGGCACACAATTTATCCAGACTGTACAAATATCGCCTAACAACCACTCATTTTCCACCTGCCTGTCCGCCCTGAGGTTTACACTGTTTTTAAGCACGTCAGCAGTTCCCCCGACTGCAAGTTTTGTTTTTGGCCTCAAACTCTGAGGCAGCAGTAAAGTTCACTTTCTTTGTTTTACTCATAGCCATCCCCAAAGTGACGGTAGAACCGCAGAGACCAAGAACTACAACTCCCATGACCTCCACCATCATCACTACCGCTACATCTCCTCCAACCACCACAACTGCCCCCATCCCAACAACCTCCCTGTCCTCATCCACTGATGTTATGACCACCACTCCAACACCTATAACTGATACCACTGCTACACCAGTTACTGCCACTACTGTGACAACAACAACACTTGCTGCTACTACTACAACTGAAATGGATACGACAACTCCCACAACGCCTCCTCCGTCCACCACTTCTGCTATTACTACTCCTAGTACAACAACAAATGTTACTACCATCACTGCAAGTTCAACTACACCCACCACGCTGCTAACTACAACCCAGACGACACCTTCTTCTCCTCCTCCTCCAACAACAACAACACCAGCAATCACTACAGTGCTGCCGAGTACCTCGCTGCAAACCACCACGGTGAACAACAAGATCAACAAAGACGTGACACAAAAGCAGCGAGGAGACGTGCACAGTAAGGACACACAAACACAGCACACATCCACGGACCTGCCGAGTATGAGCTCGCCCAATCACACTGTTTATTAATTAATTGGGAAGAACTTGCTCTTGTTGCTGTGTTTCATTATGGCCAGGTACAAAGTTAATGTTATAAAATGTTTGCTGTGAAATGTTAGCTTCATGTATCAAATACTTTTATTTTTAAAGCCAGTTCATCAACTTTCAGGACATTTTTTCAAACACTAAAATCATCAGTTTCTCAAAAACTATTAAGGACTAAAGTCTGAACTTTCCACGGACCCCAACGTAAAAGTGACTCAGTGTCTGTAATATGGGACAGATGCAGATCTGAATGTTGACCAGTAAAAATAGAAAAAGAAAAAAGAAAGTCCACTCCGAGTCGGGGATGAGTTCCTGCCCCAAGTGGAATAGTTTAAGTATCTCGGGGTCTTGTTCGCGAGTGATGGGAGAAGGGAGCTGGAGATCGACAGACGGATTGGGGCTGCGGCTGCAGTAATGCGGACGCTGCAACGGTCCGTCGTGGTGAAGAGGGAGCTGAGTGTAAAAGCGAAGCTCTCAATTTACCGGTCGATTTACGTCCCTACCCTCACCTATGGCCACGAGCTGTGGGTAGTGACCGAAAGAACGAGATCGCGGATACAAGCAGCAGAAATGAGCTTCCTCCGAAGGGTGGCTGGCCTCTCCCTTAGAGATAGGGTGAGAAGTTCGGCCATCCGGGAGGGGCTCAGAGTAGAGCTGCTGCTACTCCACATCAAAAGGAGCCAGCTGAGGTGATTCGGGCATCTGACAAGGATGCCCCCTGGGCGCCTCCTGGGTGAGGTGTTCCAGGCATGTCCCACCGGGAGGAGGCCCCGGGGCAGACCCAGGACATGCTGGAGAGATTATATCTCTCGGCTGGCCTGGGAACGCCTTGGTGTGGAGGTGGCTGGGGAGAGGGAGGTCTGGGCTTCTCTGTTTAGGCTGCTGACCCTGCGACCCGGCCTCGGATAAAGCGGATGAAGATGCATGGATGGAAAAGAAAGTCCAACACTTGTGTAAATTCTAATATTAACCTCTTAGGACCTGGCGTCCACATATGTGGACATCACATTATTATTGATTTAGTTATTTAGACTAAAATACTCAATTTTGGTGTACAGGGGCCTGATATCCACTTACGAGGACATTATACTGCTACTGTTCTATCAAAATTTTAAACGAATATCCTCATATGTGGCTCTTATTTTTCTTAAAAACAAAGGTTGAAAAAAAAAATCTGGTAATTCTTTGTTTTCTACATTCATCGGGCCCCAATATGCCCAAATATCAAAGAAAAATTAAAAATGCATGTCGTGGAAGAGTTCAGGTCTTAGGAGGTTAAAGCAGAAAGAAAAAGAAAACTAATTAAATTAGTTGGTGTGTTGTTGAATTTCACAGTAATGTCAAATTTTCATTTGACATTACTGTGAAACTTGGAGTACTTTTTAACATGAAATACTTGATTACAAAAATAAAGAAATTTCTATTTTGGTTTGACTTCAATGCTCGATTGAGAAGATGTAACAAAGTAAAAAATATCAAAAACAGTCAAAAATGAAAGAAGGTCAAGCAGGAGATACAATAGCGTTAAAGCTAACCTTCATGTTTCAATATGTTTGGTCTACTTAAAGTTTTATAAAGCTTCACACTGCCAGTTAGAGCTTCAGCAGCTCCACCAAGATCATGGTGGATGTGAAGCCTCCTCTCAAAACGCAAAAATTAGCTACTTAATATGAGAAACAAAAAATTAAGAAGATCCAGACTATAATCAAGCGAAATAATCTGGCAGTAAGATGATTTCACTTGGTAAGATTTCTTAAAATAAGAATTTTTTTTAAACATGTGAGAAATATCTTAAAGGAAGTGCTGAAACACTCCTTCCAAAACAATTCAAAACTAGCCTGTCAATGCTTCTTTCTCATTTTGAGAGAAAATATCTTTGAAAAAAGATGATTCTTCTAAGGCACACAGTGAAGTCGAACCCAGGATGGTATTGCTGTGAAGCAGTAGTGCTAATCACTGCTCCAGTATTCTTACCTTTTGTAAATCATTACTGGGAGGTCTTGAAGCAAGATTTTTGTCTGATTGCATTGTTACTAAGCCAAAATAATTCAAAGAAGTGACTTCGATTGATGTCTTCCAGTTAAAAATTCATGAAAATAAACAAAGGTAGAAAAATGAAACCAGTTTTTGCATGCTAATCTAGACTTTAAATTTTTTTTTAGGATATGTAAGAAAGTAAAAACTGCAAACTTTGGACTTCAGTCTGGTTTTCACATGTGTGTATACAAAGCCTGCGTGTCGGTTGAAGAGGACTAACATT